AAAAATTTGAAACAAACTAATATAGCAATTATTAGAATTTGAATAAAGCCAATATTGAAATTATAATGGTTAATTTCATTTTGAAAAAATACTACTAATTATTTTTTTTAGTAAATAAACAGAGTTAAACATCTTAGAAATTTTTTTGGAACTAAAATTTATTCAAATTTTATTAAAGAAACTCAGGATATTTTGAACCCTGTCTAAAATTTACATATATAATGAAAATAAATTTCAGCTAAACAAATATGAACATTCACTTAATTAATTTTATAGTTGACATTAACACTCATTAATATTATTTTTTTTAAAGATCTTTTAATGATCATTTATGATGTGCAATAATGATAATTTTTAATACGTAGCGATATTTGTGAGCAAAATATCGCTACGTATTAAAAATTATCATTGTTAAGTTATTAATAACTAGTGTTGCTGAATAAATTTGCCGGGAATTTTGGGAAAATATATAGTCAAATGTCACTAAAAATATCCAAAAAAATGTAGGGAGATTCCTAAAGATAAATAAATGTCTTCAAAAAGCATTAATTCATTTTAATATGGTTGAATTATGGAGAGAAGCAAATATTCTCTCATTCAAAAGTAGCAGTTACGAGAATTCCCGGGATTAGCTTAAAAAGTTGTCTCGTGTCCCGGGAATCAAAAAAATGTTGATACTGAGCAACGTCTTTGGTTTTGCGAACATTATATGTAGTATAATGTAAGTCTCACATATGAGTATTTAAGTTTAAAGACGACTTAAATATTAAATTTTGATTTTTTAGTTAATAATTAAGTTGAACATTAAGAATTATTTGACAGGGACCATATACTAATGAAATGTTTTGTGATGCTTTTTTTTTGTTATAAAAATGGATTTTTTTTTACTATGATATGAACGTTCACGTTGAAATGAGAAAAACATATTAAGAAAAATGATATGAGAAAATATAAAATGAATTATGGACATTAAGCTAAACTAGACACATTAAGTTAACAACACATCTTATTATTAAAGTAATAAACAAAGATCAATGTCCATTCACATCATAGCTGTACCACAAACAAACAATATTGTCCAAACCTTGTTACTTTCCTAAACCTTTCCTCGATGTCTTTGCTTATTAAAAAAAAATGGTTTTGACAATGACAGAAAATCTTTGGTCAGATGTTACTTGCAGTAATTCACTGACCAAAAATTCTCTGTCTTTTCAAAACGGAACTACATTTTGTAGTATTGACCTATTAGCCTAGGCCTAGGCAATATTTAATGAGAGACCACAATGTTCCTAAACCGAAAATGATGAAAACAAAAATCATACAAAAGACTCGATGCAAGTTTACAATGCACGCTATTATTAGCGACATTTTGATGAAATTATAAGGTCGCAGGTCCTCCTGATGATGAATTGATGATATTTGTGTTAGGGGTAGTTGGGATGTTGAAGTTGTCTTCTCACATTTCAGTGGGGATGAAGATATTGTTGTTTTTTTTTGCGTGTGGAAAAATGTTGTTAGCAGGAGGCCTCAAGAGGAATTGGAATTACATGAAGTCCATTCCTTTCTCTACAGCTGATTACTCTTTAACAGGTGTTTTTTTCGGCGTTTTTAATAGTATTATGGCTATGACTACTAACAGAACGAGCATATTTTGTGTAGTTCGTTACTGGAAAATATAAAACAAACACACAAGATATCATATACTGATCAGTATAGATATTTCATTTTTTTTTGAAAAAATAGATCGGTTTTTCAAAGATTTTAGTTTAATGAATTTTCTCGATTTTTTATGATTTACCTCTAAATTGTTACAGGAAAATTTAATATAAAGTTTAAATTAATTTTAATTTAAAATCAAACATAAATTTATAGAAATTTTTTAAAAATTGAATCGCTGTTATTTTTTTAAGATATAAATACGTTATTTTACAAGGAAATTATTTGTATTCTAATTTAATTAATTTTTAGGAAGATCAAAAACAAATGGATTTTGTAAAGTTTTTAATAATTAATTAATTATTTTACGTCTAGAACAAAAAAAAAATATAAAAAAAAATACGAGAAATGAAAAAAAAATAAAATTATAAATATTTTGTAACAAATCAATAAATTTCCTTAGTAAAATCTGGTAAAAAGAAGCGTAAAATCGAATAATTTTGCTACAAAATTAAATTAACACTTAAAAAAATTACAATTAATACAAAGTTTATGGGAATATATAATTTTTTGGAAAGAGAAAATATATTAGTAGAAATGAAAAAAAAACATATAATATACATATTTAAATGTATATTTTACGCTGAGAAATCATCATTAAATTAGAGATTTTTTTATGGACGTGATTTATTTAAAATTGAATTTACTGGAAACATAATTATAATAACATTTAAAAATTATTCACTCTTTGAAATTCTTAGTAAAATCAATAAAAAATTATAGAATTGTAAAAATGTAATTAATTTGCGAAAAATCCGCATTGCAAAAGCGCGAAATAATTCTATTTCTCTCATAAATAATTTTATTTTATGGAAATACAAAGTCGTCCGTGGAAATAAAGAAGTTAAAGAGGAATTTAATTTTTATGTTGGAAATAAATAATTAAAAAAAACATTTTTGATGAAAGTTTGTACAAGTTATGTCGACTAAAAATTAATAAATATAAATATAAAAACTAAATTTAAAACTAAAAAGTATTTAAATTTGGATTAGATTTTATTTAAAGTGTGAATTTAATTTGCATAAAAATTTTCGAGAAAAAATATGTTAAACATTTTATTTTTTCAGTCTGAAAAATAATTTAAAAAGTAGTTTAATTGTAAAACAAAATTGCTTTAAAATTATGTTTGATGCAAAAATAAATTCTAAGTCCTGAAAGTGAGGGAAAGCTCGGAAAAATCGTATTGATTGAAAGCAACACGTAGGACTTGGCGCGCACAATGTGGAAAATTCGGTAGAATAAAAAGAAATATGAAATGCTTTAAATATAATCAGGTGAAAATCCTACCTTTTCAGTAGAAAATCGGTGCACAACACGTAGGCTCTGGAACAGAGGATGTGTTCACTTGTCAGATCTGGTTGTTGTGGAGTCGAGCGTCGACTGGCAGCGGACGGAAATGCATCAAGCATTTATATACTAGTGCATCCCTGGAAAATGAAGCAACAAAAACAAAAATCTGGCAATGTTTTGAAAATTCAAATTTGGCGCAAATGAAGTATTACGCGGGCGCTTAGATTTGTACGTCATTGTACATCCCCAATAGCCTTTCCGGAAATCACACACACTCACATGAGCTTGGACATACACGTATGCTGGGATGTTTTAATAGTTACCTATTTAAATTACCCGTTGACCAGGGATTCTGCGCGTCCCGTTTCTATGGATATCTTCGACTCCTCCATTTCGAGCCTGCATCCGGCTGTTACAAGTTAATATGATCCGTAATGCACCCATATATTGTGAGCACTATCGCCGGTACTTCGACAGGTATCCCCAGTTATCCCCAGATATTCCTTCCCCCCGATACGTCTGATCAATGCATCTCGCTCGCTCGCCATCATGTACGCATTTCATTTAAGAAAACGCTGTTCATCCTCCAATGTAGTTGTTATATAAGAATTATATAAAGGATTCTCTATATGAACCCGGCGCATCCGCACGACAAAAACAACATCTTAAGAGGTATAATACACAACAATGGAATACTATGAAATTCCAATCATAAAATTTGGTTTTAAATCCAATTAATTCTAAAAATAAACTTGCATAATTTAATTCTTATAATATTTTTATATTTAATATAATTTCAATTACAGTCGATTCTGCTTAATTCGGCCACCGGCTATCCCGCTTATTAGAGACAAATCCCACAGAACGGAAACAAAACCGAGGAAATAACAAAAATTTATTCTGCTGTACAATATTCTGTTTTAACGTAATTGATATCAATATACAACTATAATCTCGCAAAAACAGAAAGAAAACCACTTTGAACATTTTTAATTTAAATTTTTATATCATTTTCTATTATCTAGTTCTATAAATTTTTATATTATGTATAGTTTTGTGACTTGTTTTATATTGTGCAATTCATTAAATAAAATATTTCAAAACACTAATCCTGTAAGTTTTGACGAACTTTGGATAATTGGGACAACATTTTATAGTCCGGATTTAGCGCAATCACCTGCATTTTATTTCTATTAATTACACATTCTTCTTTTTTATCGTGGCCAAAAAATATTTCATTATTGACGGATTGCATATAATAAATAAAGGTTAAACAAAATGCACGGGACCAAAAAAAAACAACATATTACATCATGGATTTTGTTATGAAATGTAATGATATAGATATGTCCAATTAGAAAAAGACAACTATTTTATCCGTCGCTGCAATTCATTTATTTTATCATGAATAATAAAAAAATGTTTTTATTTATTTAATTACTCAATGTTTCTTGATGTATCTCACATCATAGATTAATTTGTTATATAAGAAATTCTATAATTTATATACAAACATGTGAAATTAATAATGATTTATTTCCAAATTTGCCGTCGCATTCGCACTTACGTTATATAAATAATTGTACATTATGTACCACAAATAGATTATGTAAAAATAAATAATTAATATAATTGATATATGTATTTAATTGATTAAACATGGATTAAAGTATTATGTAATTAATATAAAATTTTGTATAAAAAATATATTTTTTTTCAATTGTCCGTCGCATCCACTACAAAATTAATATTATGTAATTAATAATACTTACAGTTTTCTTAACTTCAATACAAAAATCAATATGGATTAAGTATTATATACTTTCATTTAAAAACAAAAGAAACTATTCATTACTACACGCCACATAAATAAAAATCTTGATTGTGGATAAATACACGATAAATTAATGTAATCGAATTTCCTATTAATTACATGTAATTTTAAATAATTCTGTGTGATTTTTTTTGTATTAAGTAATGTTAATTATTTCAGGTGCTTACAACTTACATAACTCTTATGTAAAAAGAATATGGACAACGTTAATTTAAAAAAAATCAAGATTAATGCATGTTTTTTAATATTTTGTAAATGTTGATTTTTATTTTGTAAATAATTTCATGCATGTTTTATATTTTATTTGTTATATTTTTTTTAATTGTCAGTTACAAACATCCAAATATTAATTGAGTTGGAAAAGAAGAAGACTTTGATGGAGAAATGAATTGGAAAAACATGTTTTTTTTTTTGTTGAAATAAATGTTTTTAATATAAATACAAAAACATAATTAAATGTTATTTAGTGCTATATTTTTGTTGTTTTATATAATTAAATCTAATTTAATAATAATGTGAGTATTTTAGATATGTTAGAAACTAATGGAATGAAATAAATTTCAAATGTAAATTGTATTCAATTATTTGAATAATTTGTTTGATTGAACTTTAAAATGGAATAATTATTTCTACGTCTATATTTGGTGAAAATGTATTTAGTGAACAAATGCGAACTGCCAACGGCAGGAAACGGAATTGTCCGTTAATATGTGATTTAAACTCAATAAAACGTACGAAGCGCGTTAAATTTAGCATTCGCACCCCTTCCGACTGTTTAATTCCTACTTAAAATTTGTTAATTGTATAACTGCAAATACTATACAACATCAAATTAAGTAACATTAATATAATATATGTTTTATTTTCAAAATACATTTATTTACTTAATAAATATTTTGTACAAATTTTCATTAAATGTTTGAATTTAAGTAATTTTTTAGTCAAATATGACAAGAGTTAATAAAATGACAAAATTAAAGTGTATTCAATATGAAATTACAAAATAAGTGTTTATGTAGTCAACATTTTGCAAGGTTTTGACTATTGTATTAACCCTTAGTTACTCGCGTGGCGTCTGAGAAACTCGGTTAAATAAAACGTTAGATATATATTGTCAGTCAGTATGAAGAATGTACATAGGTCGAGGTTGTCCCATCTTTCCAGTTTAAAAGCTATGGTTGGTTTGTACTGACTGGCGTCTCACAGACACAAGTCAAGTTTATTTTCTATCAAGTAATAAGTAAGTTGAATACCGAATTAAGACATACGATTATCTTCACATATAAGCTTAATCTATTTGGAATCGAAGCTTCTATAAAATAATCCATTTATATATATTCATATACTGCAAAACATTTTTTTTAATACATCATCAATTTTTTTATAATATCCATTAGTTTAATGGCGTTGCCCAAATGAATGTCATGTCATGATTAATTGATGTTCATATTTCGAATATTTTAGTTTATTTTTTTTTTACATTGGCAAAAATCAATAATTACTATTTCAAATACACTTTGACTTTTTATTATTTTTGTATATTTAATTTCAAACATTTTGGATGATTTTAATATATAATCTACATAATCATTGTGATCAATGTAAAAAATCAAGTATTATGTAATAAGAACATTGGGACAAATGCTGGTAATAGGTTTAATATATGGTCAATAGATAATTAACAACAATTAATATTGTGCACTATTGACACACCTACAGCCGGCATTACATAATTCGAACAATTGACTACGAACGCATATATCCCCCCAAGTGTGATCCGTTACGGTGTGAAGCAATTGTGGTTAATCTAAGCTTACCAGTGCATTCTCACACAGCAGCTATGAACAACGCAAACTATTATATAATGCCTCAGACATTGAATGTAACTGCGTAACATGTTTAGCGCTAATTATTACATAAACAACTAACCATGTCATTTTTTGAAGTTTGTCTTTAAAAACAGATTCTAGCCCGCTTATTTAAAAAATCTAGAAGCCATAGATCACAATTAAATTGGGCCACCGTCTGTCCCGCTTATTAGGGACAAATCCCATAGAACGGAAACAAAACCGAGGAAATAACAAAAATTTACTCCGCTTTAAAGTGATAAAAAATCTAGAAGCCATAGATCACAATTAAAAAAAATAGACCGTTTATTAATTAAAAAAAAAAACAATGTACAAGCTTCTAAAAGATATATACAATGGATCCTCGCTTAACGAGCACCTCGCATAACGAGCAAAATTAATTGTACGAACAATGACTCGCTTAACGAGCAACGTTTCGCATAACGTCGTCACTCGTTGAGAAGAGAAGTCCCGGATTGCGCGCCTTCTACATCATTCAAAACTTGTTTACACATATTATGTGTATTTTTGAATATATTAACCATCTTCGATTTTCTTTGTCATCTTTATTTAAAGCGGAATTGATGTGATTTTTTTTTTGTGCAAAATTTAATAACACTGGTATGTCTCCGAATAAAAAGCTAAATAATAAAAATAAACATAGGTATGAAAAGCAAAATCACGAAAAATCGAGACCAAGTTATACTTTTTTTCTCCGGCATGGAACTGATTAATGCAATTTACATTGGTTTATATGGGAAAACGTGTTTCACTATACGAGTAAAAATCCGGAAATATTATCGTCAAAGCTGTCAAAATCAATACGTATAGAATTTGTATTTTCACTGATTTGCATTTGCTTTTCATTACGATAATCGAGCTTTTTGATTAGTTTCAATTCAGTCCATAAAATAAATTATATATTTCATAATAATATTAATAATCCACATTTCTATATATTTCCTAGTTTATTTATAAATTACGAATTGTTTCGGAAACGTACACGAATTGTCACAGGACACCAATATATAATTAAATCAAGGAGAAATTTCACATACACAAATATATTATAACTGGAATTCATGAGCTTCGCTAATAAAATTACACGAAACGTAGAGATTCATTTCGTATTAATAAGGGAACTTTTAATTACAATCATTGTTTCTCGTTACCCGTTCACAACTACCTATACATATATTTTGTTTTTTTATAGTTGGAGGATGAAAATAATGAACTAATTAAATGTTTGCTTATTATCTGTGCGAAAAGTTACATTTATGTTAATTCAAGCGATACACGTGTTTTCGTTAATTTAATTTATGTTAAACGTACAAGCTTTGGCTTCCGCTTTTTTTTATTCGCTCTCGCTAAAATAATTAGTTTGTAGTATATTTCACTTGTTAATTGTAAAATAATAATTAACTGGAGAACATCAAAACGTAGCATTTACATTATATTTTGAGCATATTAATTACAATGTTTAAATTAATTGGAATAAAATATAACCGTCATTTTCCCTGACTATTTGAAACAGGACTAATCGAAAAACTTAAAACAGAAAAAAAAATGAGACTTGATTATTATTTTTATTTTGCTTCATTAAAATCTAGTTTGTTTTGAAATTTTTAAACCAAACTTGTACAAAATCCAAAACCGGATATATATTGATTAAAACGTCATGACTGAAAAATATGTGTGAGATAGAAGAAGAATGTCGATTTTTTTATCTCTATTACATAAGTTTCATAATTTCCTGTCGTTACTGAAATTCATTAGTTGCAAGTCTCACAAGGAGTGTCGTCGGATTTTTATGTAAAACTTAGTGGTGCTAACTTTTAAACTTCAGGATAATGGGAACTTTAATACGTTCTACATGATATTACATAAGTAATATTAATATGAGATTTTCACCTTTTATGCAAAAATAATAATATTTTGTAAAAATTAAAACCAAGTTTTTATAACAAATATCTTAATTATTATGGCTTTAAAAGAAGTAAAACAAATTAATTATGAATTTAATAATGATAATAATAACAATTATTACAAAAGTCGTAAAAAGTAAACAAAAATAAAAATAAATAAATTTCATTGATGAATTTTGTAATAACAAAAAAAAAGTTATTTATAAATTATTTGATGGTTATAACATATATAAAATCAAAAAAACAAGAGATATTATAGTAATAATTATTATATAAACTTCATTTTTATTGAGCAATAACTGTAATAGAGCATTAAAATTCATCCGGAACGGCAATCGAAACACATTCAACATGTTGCCTGTAAAATATAATAGGTACGTTATAAAACTAATGTACTTTAAGTCCGAAACAGATTTTTAAAAACAATTTAAAGTAGTAATAATTACAAAAGAATTTTCTAAAAAAAATATATTTCACTTGTCTGAATTTCAGGATCAAACATCGACAATAACGAGACAATAACTTTGAAAATAAAGTAAATAAAATGATGAAATTGAAAGAATATATTTTTTTAAGGTTGCATGGGAAGTGTACAATTACATGTCTTTGTAAATGCGCAAAGTGGATAGACATTTGAGAAGGAGCCAAAGGCTATTAATATATGAAAACGGCGGTTGCGTTCCTAATTTGGCAAAGGTTTTCAGAGATGATTGTGTATACGATAATCCGTGTATATTTCTATACCAAATGCTGATGTTTCCTAGTTAATTCCTTTGGTTCGAAGATCTAAATTATGTTTGCGTCTTACTATGTTTTAAAAAATTGAGATTTTTCAAGTTCTTATTATCAACTGTTTTTTTACAGAAAATACTAGTGGCAACTCGCTTAGAACTAAGAATCGATAATTGCGACCTTTATGCAATTTTAGAAAAGCGAAGTTTTCTATGATAAGGATAAGTCGGATATATCCGTCGTTTTTTTTATATTCTACTTAATATACATAAAATTATGTTTACATAAAATAGAGAAACGTATGGATTTTTTATTGCTTAAATTAAAAGTGAATTATTTTGTTACAAAATTAGTTTAGAAATCTCTACGATCAACAGAAATGCATTTGGGAATTCAGTATGAAAAATAATACTTTTTTTAATTAAGTTTGTATGAAATTTTTCGAATAATTTATTCAGTTTTAATATATATTTGTTCCGTTGTTTTGATTACTTTTAGAATGAAATCCGTGTGAAAGTTCGACCAACTAATTTGAATTGTGTTTGTGTGATGTTTCTGAAATGTATATTTTTTTTTCTCTGAAAAATTGACATATGTAAATTTTGCACTCAAAATTTTGTCGTCGAAATTAATCAATAATAATAACTCATAATATGCGTTAAATGTACAAATTTCATCATCGAATGTTGCATAAAGCAAATTGAATTTCCACAAAATGAAATAAA